CCCCAAAACCCCAAAACCCCAAAACCCCAAAACCCCATGCTAGCAACCCCGCATTGAAGAAGAGTTCCTAATATATATTTCTATTTAATTTATCATAATAAACTTGTTGGTTTAGAAAGAAGAAATTGGATTAAGGTAGCACTTTATGGTTGGGGTAACCAGGACATTTTCAAGAATCTAATGTTTACTCTTGAGTGAGTTAGATATCACTAAAAAGAATACGGCTTAAGGAATAGATTGCCTATTACCAAAACTACGGAGACAGTTGTAGATGTAAATGATAGAAGTATTTTATTTGAGTGAAAGTATGATCACTGTTCACAGCTAATACTTACGGATGTTTAATATCCTATTTATTTAGCTATGATCGAAAGTAAGTTAATATTGACTGCCTTCTTGCTCGACTCGTATTTTCCTATATAATCCAGGATTTGGAAAGAGAACCTCACATCATAATTTTCTGTGGCGTGTCTGAGGAACTCTTTAGAGAGCTGAGTGTGTTTTACATCGTCATAATGGAAGAAAATGTCTGATCCATCTTTATCATAGACTATGAATCCATATTGGTGTTGTTGATTGAAAAACTTGAGCATGCCAGTTCCAACCATAAGATCTCCTGCAGGAGGACTTGTAGTGTCTGAGGTCATGTTTGAAGAAGATGCAGAAGTGTTTGCTACTTTGACTGCAGATCCAATTTCATTTTGCTCTTTAGATGCTTCCAAAGGTCTATCGTTAGTTAAGGTCGATGGCTTAGTATACATAGGAGTAGTAGTGAGAGGCTTAGGCTGAGTTGGAGCAAAACTTGAAGTTCCTGAAGTCTGAGCTGTTGTAGGATACATTGGCTGGCTTTGTATCATCCCCATTGAATAGTTGTATTGAGGCCCAAAATGTCGGCTTGAAGGGTCAGGAATTGGTTTAGGAGGAAATTTCTGAGTCAGCCCAGGTGGAGGAATCTGTAATGCATTTGCTGTAGGATTTTGATAGAAATAATGAGAATTTGATTGTGGGGGTATTCCATTAGGATACTTTTGAGCCTGATAGTTTGATGAAGATGAAACACTCATTGGGCCACTTGGGTTTGAGTAAAAAGAGTGCTGTGATTTTGGTCCTCCAGGTTTATAAGACCTAGAAGATGTGCTCAGATTTAGATTACTACTAGATTTCACTTCCTCTTCAATAAGAGATCTTTTGTCATTTTGCATGAGAATTGGGTGTCTTTTCTGGACATTGAAAGCTTGCTCATCTGATCTCGCTCCACTTCCTTTTTGATAAGCAAGTCTCATTGCCATATTTCTCTTCTTTTTATTTTCTCTTGACATTTTACTATTATTACTTTCCTCTTTCTTCGTTGGGGCAGGTTTAGGAGGTGAGAATAAATTTGGTTGAAATTTGGGAGTATTGGAGTCATTTGATCTTTTATCGCTATCGTCCTGAGGTCTATTCCAAATATCATTAAGAATATAGGAATCATCATCTTCTTCATTTTTCAATAATAATTCCTGCTTGGTTGGAGTATCGTTCGCGAATTTTGCTTCGGGTTCATCAGCTATGAGCTTGTTAATCTTGCCATTAGGTTTTGAATTTTCTGTTTCTTCTCCGTTCTGTGAGAGCCCACCTGAAACTCTGACTTCAGGTCTATCGAGAAGAATAGGTGCACTTAACAGTTCAGCAGATTTTTCAGAGTTTGTATCGCTATCATCTTCGTCAATGTGGAGAAGAGGGACTAATTCATGTCCTGTGACAAACAGTGTGAGGCTGTCTTCGTTCTGGTCACTAGGAAGCATGGAGGAAGCATCATCACTGGCATTTTTCGACCCGTGGCAAAGAGATTTCTCTTTCAAGCTTTCTCCATTGTAATAAAGAATTTTGATATTGTGGTGATAGGCTGCTAGGAGGCATACAAATTCTAAAGCAGTGTCAATAGATTTGGTTTTGATTTGAGTTAGGTAAGCATCGATTCCATCAAATTCAGTGTTTTGCTTCAAGAAAAGGTCGAACTTAGCCGAGTGATTGATCAGGTAATTTACTAATTTAGTTTTACATTGGGGGACTTTGGCAATGTTCGAATAAATTAGATAAGAAAATGACTCAAATGCACAGTCAACTTTGTTCTCACATCTTTGAATCTTGAAATTATTTAGTTCGCACCACTTGGTTAGTTTAGAATTGGATCCTGTCACTAATTCTTGGTCGTAACTCATTTCTGAAGTCTTTTGAAGGATTTTTGTAAGGGAGTTGTAATTTTTCTTCACTCTTTTAGGATCCATTTATAATATATGTTGGGAATAGAAGTTATTATATTCGTATGGGGTTTTGGGGTTTTGGGGTTTTGGGGTTTTGGGG